CGTAAACCGCAGCAAAGAACATTGAAAAAAATTGATAGTAAGGTCAAAGAGGAATGTAATAACCAGAGCGGCTGACTACCTGAAACCCCTAAAGGCCAAATACATCAAATCGAAGAGAAACTTTGAAGCCTCATTGATCGGTTAACACGTTTCTGTGTTCCACAAGGCTTTCCCGTAAATGAGTCGAACACGTGTCCTGAATGTGAAGATGTGTTGGTAAATGAATTCAAGCAGATTCTGATGATTGGGTTGACTTCGACCATAAGAAAAAATAGTGAAACATGAATTATCCGCTGCTTGATTACTTTACTGCCAAACATACACACGGATGGAATACATGCCTAAGCCTGATGAAGGTGTTGTGAAGAGGTCACACAATGACATACTGGGCATTGATTTGTTTCAAGTCACTCAGCTCAGTTTTATCGAGGCTATGCTGGTGACGCTTCTCTAAATCGGACGAGGACGTGGTGTTGAGCGGCGTGATGGCGCGTTTTACATAACGCAGCGGATAGGCGTTGCGACGAAGTTGTGTACGACGTCCGAGGAGGCTATGAACAGAGGCTGTTGGTTCGGAATCGCGGCGAGTTGTGGCGAGACTGATGTCATCAGAGTCAACGCCAGTCAACTGCGAATCGGCTGGTGAGATCATAGAAGCTGGGGTAGAGGATTCTTGCACCACGGACGTCTGCCTGGAGTCGGGAAGAGCGCTAGGAGAAACGATGTGCACGTGGCGCGTAGATTGCAGCCATGAGGAAGCGACCCCGCCTTCCGTGGCCAAGAATGACGGAGTATGCGGCGGCAAAAAACTTCGCGCTCGTGGGAGCACATGGCGACCTGACTCAAGATCCATCCGCTGTCCAGCGCTTATGGTCTTGGTGCGTCGAAGAATGGCCGACTGCTCTTGAACTAACGAACACGTTATGATGCGAGCAAGCTTGCGTCTTTATATAATTTAACTTCATGTAAGTTCCTGCACTGCACCCTCTTGAACGAACTAGAACTCGCTTCACTCTGAGCTGATGCATTAATGTGCTCAGTTAGCTTAACTCATTCATAAAGCGAACTCTGTAAGTTAACTATCTTTAGAGAGCATATAGCAATAAAATTATTGAAAAATGTAGGGCTAGTAAAATGGCGAGCATAACCAGTTCAGAATATTATGAAACCTCAGCGGTCACCGATTCATTTTTAAAACTTTCTTTTGCTCCTCTTGTTCCTAATTACAGAATTAATTTTCTTGAGGTGCAGCGATTGAAAGCATAGCTAAACTGAGGGGCAGACCTTCATGAAACCTAAATGTTGGTGATTGGCCTAAAGAGATATTCATTGCTCCGTGGCAGGAGTCTCGAGGGTCCAAGCCCCTTTAATAATTTGCACGGACTTACGCGCAAGTTGATCAATGGCATCTCCAGCAATATCATTGATCAATTTAATCCAAGTGAGCATTTCATGCGGTTTCTTTTGACACTGACCACCATCCCTTAGAGGTTTGGGCAATTGGCGATTGACAACGTACCAGGCCCTTTCAATAAAGGCCACAAGTTGCTGAACCACATTTTCGGGGAATGTCATCTCACTAACCCCTGGCTGGATAGTGAGTCTCTGCTGCTGCAGAATCCGACTAACTACAGCGACGAAGGTGAACTCGCAGGCCGGCTGAATCTTGTCAAAGGAAAAGGAGGTGGAGATTCGTCGTGGGAGACTACCCAGCATTGGTGCGTGACGCGACTTGGTATTCGGTGCGACTGTAGCGCTTCGGATGGTGGATTTTAGAAGGCGGTTCAGTGATTGCAGCGAATCCCCACCATCCAGAGTGTCGATTAAGAAGCCAAACATGGACTAAGCGAAGAGACGAGAGGTACATTCATTGGGAGACGACTTAGGGACATTGACACCTCAATATTTGCAAAGTAAACAATATTCACACAAATGAGAAAGTTGCTTCATTGGCTTGGCAGGGGTGTGTTGTTAAATACTCAACTCCAATATAAGCGGGTTTACTTCGTAAAAAGAGAAAATCCCACTGATGATGGAATGGGAACAACAAAGGATACTAATAGCCTAATATTATAAAGCAAAAAAAACTTTAATAGATCTAAAATATGATTTAATTGTAATAGTTGCTCATTTATTACAACGGGGAACGAAGCAAAATTGTGGTTACTCACGCTAGGTTAATTTTTGTGGCACGGTACGCTAATGAATAAGCATTTCATGAAACGCGATAAAAACATCAGGCAGCACAGCATAAATTCATAACCTCAATCAAGTCGTGCTCGTCGCGTTCTCTGGAAGGAATGATCATGTCTGAGGAGGTTTTGGGAGAGGCGTTTGAGAAGTCCATATCTCCAGAGGGAGTTGGGGAGAGAGATTCCGCGGGTTTGGGAAGACGAGCAGAACCAACGGTCTGCGATATCCACCAATTTACCACACTCGCCTTCGATTGCATCAAGGCTGCCGAGAGCTGCTTCTTTGCTTCGTCCATCTAGAAATCAAGTACCAAAGAGGACCCTGTGAAGTCAGTGAAGTAGAAAATCTGATA